CTGCTTGACGTGTTTAGTGAGAATATTCTCTGAAAAACACAAAGCTAGGCACTAGATTTAGCGGGACCCTTGCCAGGAGACTGTGGRGGGAGGGAAGAAGTGAAAACATCGGGAGGCCACACGGGAACTTGTTTTCAGCAGGTGGAAGGATTTAGGAAACACCTCTGACCTCTTCTCCTTCTGGGCTATTCCAGACAAACTGAAGGCCTGTGGTGAAAAGCAACGTGCACACAAGTCTTCCACAAGTGGAAATTATAGAACAGATGACAGGTTAAGGCTTTCACTCCACGTATCCTTTAGACCAAAAACGTGCAGCAATTTCTGCAGTCAGAGCAGTTTTCTTAAGTATGTGTGTCACCTGCCATCTTTCATGCCACAGCCTCAAACAAACTGTTGAGATATCACAAGATGTTGTGCTCAGAGTATGGAGCTAACTCTCAGCTACCAACACAGCAAATTTTAGCTCCACGTCTGCCAAGTTGGCAGATTTATAGCCGTTTTTGTGTTGGCTGATGTTGACCGGTTTGGTGGCCATCTTGTATTGGATTGACTCAAAAAGGTAATCGATCGTAGACTCACATCAAGTTTCATCCAAATTATTTTTGGCATTTATGAAATATTATAAAGCTGATAGCCTGGCCCTTGCTGTTTTGCTCAATTCTAGTTTCCCTTCACAGCTCCGTCTGGGATTTCTCCCATAGACAAAGATTTCTCTGGTTGTATGTAATATGTAACCTGGCCAATCAGCAAACAGCAGTAGGAGTTGAGAATGACGATGACAATTTTCTGCTCTGTTTTAGTCTGCCTGTAGTTTAAGTAATGACAGCAGWGGGAGTGGATGAAGCCAGTCCGTGTTGATAAGGCTTCCAAATTAAATTAAAGTTGTCTTACACAGCTTAGCGGATGGTTGTTTACAACGCACTCAATTGCCGTATAGCTTCTTAGCTTAGCTTAGCTTAGCTTAGCTTCTTTCACCATCAAGCTGGCGCACTGCATATGTCACAGCCATATGTTAGCGATTGGGTAAATCAGAGCCAATCTTTTTAAACTTCAACAGAGTCCACGCCTCCAGCAAGAAATCACATCTCAACAGCCGAGGTTCCAAATCCTCTGTATTAGCAAACCGTAGAACAAGCTGGTTTTTACCACTGAAGCTTTTCAAGTTTTATAATGAATTACTGTCTGCTGAAAATATTTCATCCATTTCTTTTTAATGTAGTTTACTTTCATGTGCAAATATGTCGATTTTTGGTTTAATCTCGTTTGTTTTATCAGACATCAACATGTCTAAAAGATAAATTCACTGATAAAACTCCACAGACCAAACCAAATCTGCCAAACCACTTGACTCAGATCACTAAAATCCTGAGTGCTTTATTCCCTTGTTTGAGTCACTTTTTATTTGCAATCTACAAAACCACAAAAAGAAAGTAATGCTTTTACTTACAGACCAAATGTTTAATTAAAAACTCCTTTTTATTGTGAGCCGCCAAAGTGGCAATAAAGGCTTTGCTCGTGTCTGTGTTCATGTTTCTGTAGRAAATACTGGATATATTTTAATGAAAACTAAACACTAATTGTACATCTATGCCTGATTGTTTGAAATTAATCCAATTCAAGAGTACTTTCATGGTCGAGCAACCTCAAACACAGAAATTACTCTAATTCAGTCAGTTTTTATAGATATTAGGCAAGWATCTGGTGTAGAAGCTGAGACTTAATCACAACACATACTCTGAGGGCTCATGTGACATAATGTACCTCACAACATGACATCAAGTCACACATAATGTCTTTTACAAAGTTTGAAAATCAAAACAGTCCTTCAAAAAATGCTAGGCCTTTTATTCTGAGAGTTTTAATCCCTGTTGGCTCCAGAGTCACATCAGTGRCACTGAGCTCTAACTGGAGCGGACGGTATGCTCGCTCCCTCAGACATTTCTACTATGTAGTAATTCACAACATAGTGTCTTGAYTCACATGTCAGGAGTAAATATAGGCTCCTCAGGCCCGCGGGGAGATCGAACCGGAATCACTTTTCAAGCAGACACTCGCCGCTCTATGTAGGGGAGGAATTTCATACGAGGGCTGGCGTTTTCTGCCCCGTTAAAGCGTATTTATAGCAGGTGAGTTGAGGGCAGCAGAGGCATGTGTGGCGTGGCCTTCTGAAACCTCGCCATGTTAAGCAACGCCGCAGGCTGCAGAGGTGGAGCCAAATATTTCTGTTTATTCTATAGAATCTAAATATAGACAAAACTCCAGGTTTGTGAGCAAAATACTCTGACCACAGGCTGCTAAAAAAAAGCACCACAATCAAATCACCACCCAGTTTTAAAGCTATAAACCAAACAAAGGAGGTTGTGTTTGAGTTTTTTTCACCTTAAGTTTGCAGGATTTTAAGGTAAATTTGTCTTGTTCAACTTTAAATAACTACAGTGAGTTTCATTTAAAATTTGACTGTATTAAAGGGTGGATGTTATGTACAATTTTGTGAGCTTTATGTCATGTTATAATGCCATTCCCTCGTCAAAAAAAAAAAAAAAAGTGTTGCTTTGAATCTTTCATGCATGTTTGGGAAATCCTTGAATCTCCTGTGGTAGCCATGTGGAGCTGCATAAACACTTGCTGATACAAAGCTCTGCCTATTTATGCAAAGCTCCTCCCTGGAGCTCAGTCTGCAGCAGAGCTCCCYCCKCACAAAGCACCCCTCCCCTAGACTAGCAAAATGTATCTTAATGATAGATGTTCATTGTTGTGGAAATATTTATTGAAAGTGTCCTGATGCATCTCAGTAATCCAGGTAAAAAATCAAAAAGAAAAAATTGTATAGGTCTTCTGGACGGGTTCTTCTCTAATGAAACATTTCATCTCTTCTCCAAGAGACTTCTTCAGACTTCTTTTGACTCCCACCACCCACTGGAACACAAGC